CTGGGATTACAGGTGTGCGCCACCACGCCTGGCTAATTTTTTGTATTTTTAGTAGAGATGGGGTTTCACCGTGTTAGCCAGGATGGTCTCGATTTCCTGACGTTGTGATCCACCCGCCTCGGCCTCCCAAAGTGCTGGGATTACAGGCATGAGCCACCGCACCTGCCTAGAGGCGTTCTTAAGCCCTGGAGGAGGGCAGAAATGAGATGCAGATGCCTGTTGAGGGGGAAATTCATGGCTGGGGAAGGAGGGATGTTGGGTGAAGGAGAGAATTCACTCACAATCCTCCCACCCACTCAGATCCAGCTCAGAGGAACATCTCTGAAACCACAGGAGACAATTCTGATGTTTTCAGAGCATGGGGAGAGTACGATGGTGTGATCTGGAGACACAGCCAGCAGAGACTTGGAGCCAAGATTGCAAGATCCCCAACAAATCACTGAATTCAGACCAGTCGCGGTGGCTCGTGCCTGTAGTCTCAGCACTTTGGGAGGCCGAGGTGGGAGGATCGCTTGAGCCCAGGTGCTCGAGACCAGCCTGGGCAATATAGTGAGACCTCATCTTTACAACAGCAAAAAGAAGAAAGAAAGAAAACACTGAGTTTGGCCTCCCCATTTTACAGGTAGTGAGACAGATCCCCAGTAAGACAGAGAGAGAGAGATTGGCCCAGGGGTATTCATGGAATTAGCAGCAGAGCAAGGATCAATTTGGGTCTTCACCTGAGCCAGGGTGTCTGGAGCCAGGAGGCCCCAGTCGAGAGGAGAGGGCCTCCAACCTATCCAACACCCCCCCTCCACAGCACCCACCCGCTCCTCTTAGCCTCATGCCCCTTTCTTCAAGCATCCGCCAAGTCTCTGGGTACCTGGGGTGGGGATTCAGAGATGTCAGGACACAGTCTTGCCTCAGTGGCCTGTTGGGGGTGGGGGAGGAGACAGACAGGCACACAGGGATAAGCGATGATCCTGTCAGCCTGTGTACCAAGGGCCTCAAAAGATGGTTAACCGCCACCTGACAGCTGGCCACGGTGGCTCACGCCTATAATCCCAGCACTTTCGGAGGCTGAGGCAGGTGGATCACTTGAGGTCGGGAAATCGAGACCAGCCTGGCCAACATGGTGAAACCCCATCTCCACTAAAAATACAAAAATTAGTCGGGCGTGGTGGTCCAAGCCTGTAGTCTCAGCTACTTGGGAGTCTGAGGCAAGAGAATCGCTTGAACCCAGGAGGCGGAGGTTGCTGTGAGCCGAGATCAAGCCACTTCACTCCAACCTGGGTGACAGAGTGAGACTGGCTCAAAAACAAAGTGGGGGCCCCTTGGAGATGGCTCTCTGAAGCAGCGCAGAGCCCCTCCAAAGGAGGGAGACTGGGGTGAGCATCAGAACCCCCTTTCTTAACCTGGCAGGGATGGGCAAAGAATGCACATCCTACAGAGGGCAGCAGGGAGGAAGGAGCAGAACAGCTGGGGCTCCTGGGAATGTGATATGACCATTTGGCAGAGACAGAAGATACCCGGCCAAGGGAGGCGGGTGGAGGGGCTGGCCTGTGAGCAGCCTCGGATAATCACTTTCCTCCCACAGCCGGTGGCTTGGGCCCTCAGGGCACTGCCATTGTGATCCTGGGTGTTGTGTGATCCTCCCGTGGGCTGGAAGAAAAGTGCTGTGTGTCAACCTTTTCCAAGGCTGCAACACGTGGGTGACCACCTCCTCCCCTCTGCCTAACATGACCACGCATAAGATACCTGTCGGAAAGCCAGCGGAGCTCAGCATCTGCCTGAAACTCTCTCTTGCCCCCACCCAGTAGGGACATCCTTGGGGAGAAGTCTGGAAATCTACTAGACCGGGCTTTACTGCTGCCCCTGAGATGCTTGGGCGTGTTTTTACTCTCCTGTGCCTCGGAACCCATCTTTGAGGTTGTTAAAGCCTCCAATGAGGTGTCCGGTGTGAATGCCTCAGTCTGGTTTCTGTCCTTAAGGTGAGAAAAGAGCCTTCAGAAGCAGAAGGCCATGTACAGTGGCTCACCCTTGTAATCCCAAAACTTTGGGAGGCTGAAGCAGGAGGATCACTTGAAGCCAAGAATTCGAGACCAGGTTGGGCAACAGATTTCATCTCTACAAAAAAAAGTTAGCCAGGTGTGCTGGCATGAGCCTGTAGTCCCAGCTACTGGGGAGGCTGAGGTGGGAGGATCGCTTTGGCCAAGGAGTTTGAGGCTGCAGTGAGCTATGACTGTGCCTCTGCACTCCAGCCTGGGTGACAGAGTGAGGCCCTGTCTCTAAAAATATATAAATAGGCCAGGCATGGTGGTGCATGCCTGTAATCCCAGCACTTTGAGAGTCCGAGGTGGGTGAATCACTTTAAGGTCAGGAGTTTGAGACCACCATGGCCAGCATGGCGAAACCTCGTCTCTACTAAAAATACAAAAATTAGCTGGGCATTGGGAGGCCGAGGCAGGTGGATCACGAGGTCAGGAGATTGAGACCATCCTGGCTAACACGGTGAAACCCCGTCTCTACTAAAAATGCAAAAAAATTAGCCAGGCGTGGTGGCGAGCTCCTGTAGTCCCAGCTACTCGGGAGGC